AAAATAGTATCAGGAATCAAGGAAGAAGTGTCACATAATACATGACAATTGTCTACTTCATCGTCTCTAATGAGACCGTTTCCATAAGGATCTCGTTTCTTGAGCCGTTGCCAACTCAGACACTGGCATTGGCAAGTGCTGGTAGTCAGAACGGACTCCAAAATAGCCTCATTTGCTTCCATCTTTGATGAGGAAGATGCTTATAAGCTCTCTTTATTTATATTCTTACACGAGCAGACATTGATGAATGCAATCCTGTGAATGGACCCCCGCCATGTCAGTACAAATGCATGAATACCTACGGTCGTTATCGCTGCGAGTGCCCCAGGGGATACCAGGTGAATAGACTCACCAATCTTTGCAAAGGTTAGTTTAGTCTTGGATGCCGTCACCACACTTGCATAGTTACTCTGACACAGACCGATCCATACTTCCTGTTAAATAAGTAATTTGTTAGGGGTTAAACACATACGCAAATACATGCTCACTTAAAAAAATAGGTATTTGGACAAAAGTTTTTATTTGAAATATTATTTCCGGCTCCTCGTTTTGGACCTCATTTAGTCAAGCTCATGAGATATATTATAAGTTTACTATGAGTCATTATAATTACCAGTTTGTCGTCTCGTCAATTTATAATTAGACGGTATACTACTGACAAAAGTTTAAAGTATGAATGTTATTTACAAGAGTAGGCCCGAAAAAATCGTAGTTGTATCTCGCCTGCTAAACTCAGAATAGCATGCGAATGAATAGCATTTTTTCATATTTCATATGATTACGGTGTGTAAATATTGTTAGTGTTACTAGGTAAGCACAAAATATAAACAAGCTGGTTTAGAAGAAACTCGTCCATAGACCATCTATTCCTAAAATTGGCATAGTAATAATAATGCCTATTGTCAAAGTACATTGAAGTTCGATGAGTTTATCCTTATATTTTTGCTCTTGTACTCCTTTGATTCTCAACCCCAGTGCATTTCCCTGAGTTATAAAAGCGTTAAAGTTTTGGCAGTTTTCTCTAAATATAGCAAATTATTTAGTACTCCCAAACACACAAACACACATGTGAAAGCGGGCTTATCAAACCAGCTTATATCCGTGGATATGTAGAAAAACTGGGTTTCGAAGACCCCCCTACTAGATTGATATTGAAGTACCGTTTATTTCGTTCAAAAAAGCGAATGGAAAAGATTCGTAAGTTGGTCCCACCAAAAGTTGTTGGGGGATTGCCTTGGAGCTGTGATTGTAGATTTATGCTAATAGGTACTCTGCACACAAATCTACAATCACAGCTCCAAGGCAATCCTCCGACAGTTTTCGGTAAGACCAACTTACGAATCTCTTCCACTCGCCTCTTCAAACAAATGAAAGGTACTCCAACATTTTATATCCATTTTGAATTTTGTTTAAGAGGTACTTCGAAGTGCAGGTGCTTATAAGTCTGTTAGTTTTCCAGACTTAGTGTTTGCTTGATGCTTTGCCGCGATTTAAGTCATAAAAGTTCCACACATTTTTCCTGAAACCGAAACAGCCTAAACGCTTTAGCAATACTAAATGATAGAAGGCCTAGTATACTCCATCGTCTATAAAATTCACAAAGGAACTTTACCGGAAGGGGGAAGGAAAGCTGAGTGTATGGCAATGTTTTTTGTACACTTACTCTGTACTCCGTAACTTTATTGCGTTATGATTTATTGGCTTGATGGCGATCATGTAGCGTATTATGTTTCGGATGAATAAGTATATTTGTGTAGCCAAAGATTAAATAGGTCTTGATGTTTCCTCTGATGTATCCTTGTTGATGTCTTTTAGTTTGTGTAACTGTGAGGTAGGAAGAGATTCGCACAAGTCGATCTCACCAGAAGACGAAGGTGGGTTTCTCTCGCTCTGCCTAAGTTGGACCTCATTCGAACATTCAGATTGTTGCAGTTCTCGCGACAGCCTCTTTCGGTTACTGAATTTCGTACTCTCAAAGGGTGCCGAGATCTACCTATTTTCATCTGATGGCAACTAGACTCGATATTGCACGTTTTAAATTGATGTGGACGATTTTTACCATTTTAATAGGCTGACGTTATTCGTTTTCAGGAAAGCCACTTAAAGAAGTTATGTATTGTGCAGAGAAGAAGGCGAGGTCTGCCGTCTTCTGATGAGACGTACGTATTAATCCCTACTTTCATAAACATTAAAAGTCCGCCAAATGTACTGATCTGTACTACTCCAAATTGAGAGAAG